AATTGTATTAGAATTTATTAAAAAGGATAATAGGAGTTGTACTCTAAATTTTTAGAAGTAAGTGCTAGTTCGACAGGAATGACACTTTTTCATTCTCTCTCTCTCTTTATTAGAGAAAAGAATCACTCCAAGCGGATAGTTAATTTTTAATCGTTGCTAAGAGTGAATAATTTCACTCTCCGAGAAAGAAGAGACTGAAGGTAAATGTTAAATTTGGACTCCTCTATATCCAATCTTGACGAAATTAGATTCATTCGACATGTTTTTGCACAAAACGAACGAATCTGGTAGAAAAAAGGCGTCACTCTACCTCGTCAAGCGAAATATTATTATAATCACTAAAATTAACTTTTTAGGAAATTCTCTCTCTCACTCCTTGAAAACATGAAGAAATTAAGTGACATTCACTCTTACCGGACTGGCGCAACTATCTCTTTCCTTAACGTGAAATTTCACTTCCAAAAATTTAGAATAAGCAAAAGAAATTTTAAGAAAAAGAATGAATCGCTATTTAAATTAAACCACCACTCTAAATTTTTGGGAATGAAATTTTACTTCTAAAAGTTCTAAGAGAGTGATAGTTGCGTCAGTCCGGCAAGAGTGAATTTCACTTAATTTCTTCAAGGAATGAATTTCCTCACTCTTAAAGAATGAAGAATCACTCCAAGCGAGAGTTAATTTTCAATTTAGTTTCTCTCTCTTTCTCTTTGCAGAGTGAAATTTTATTCTCCGAATAGTAAAACTAAAATTTCACTGTGATAAATGTTAAGTTTAGTCGTTTTACACTCAATCTTGACGAAATTAGGCTCATTTTACGTGTTTTTTTGCATAAAACGAACGAATCTATCAGAAAAAAGCGTAACTCTGTCTCGCAAAGCGACATATTAATCATTAAAGTTAATCTTGTTAAATTAGGAAATTCACTCCTTAAAGAAATGAAGTAAAATTCACACTCTGGTGGGACTGGTGCAACTATCACATATTTTGGAGTAAAATTTTACTCCCAAAAATTTAGAGCGAACGGGTCGTCCGAATCATATCTAAGTTCGAATCACGCTGGAATATGATCAGGGTCGACAGAGAAATGAGGGGAGAGCATTAAAACACCGAGGGTGTGGACGGTGTCAGTGGCGTTGGAGAGGGTGGCACATAGGCAGGAAAGGGGTAAAATTCTATCTTAATAAACGCACCCTTCCAGCTCGTACAGCGTGTAACTTCGTATGCCTACAGTTTTGTACGCGTCGGAATGGATTTGTAATCAAATCATGTCGAGTGATTTCGCTCTGATTTGGAATTAAGAACAGAACTAAAATTTATAACGGAACTAAAATTTCGATATCGAAGTCGCACGCAACAGACAAAATAAATTAAAATTAATGAAAACTGTAGAAGTTGCAATTCTAATCCTTTCGTATGTTCCTAAAAATACAAGTCTTTCAAATATATTATGTCTTTCATAATAATAATTTCGTAACATACGTAATCTACCTAGATAGTTTATAAAAACTCTTAATATAATAATGTGATGTTAAAATGTCATTAGTGTTAAAATTTTTCTGAAATATTATTTGTAAATTGTTTATATCTTATAATATATGCAATTTTTTTCAGATAAATCATAAGTAGCATTAAAGAATGCGTATTTCATATAGATTTTACTGAAAAAACAATATACTTAATATAAAACCCTCATATTAAGTCGTTAAAACGTCATTAAAACTTCATAGCTCGTGGTGCCCTTCTGGTCACGTCGTCGGAGGGTTGAACGCGCAAGAACGTCGTTGTGTTCCGACGCACTTGTAATCGTCTATAAAAGTTAATAACCAAGTAAATCTAATGATATCAATAGAGATATTGGGTTGATCTGAAGTAATTCAAACTTCGTAATTACGTGACAGGAATTGATGTAGAAATGAACTGTCATTTCCTGCGATACGCACCGATCACGTGTTAGATTTCTATCATAATCTCACGAGCACCCTCATTCATTTTAAGCAACAATTGAAGTGAGACGGTTGTCATTATGATTGAGACTATTAATTTCCATAACAGTTTAGAGATAGAGAGAAAGGGAGAGATACAATAGGATTATAGGGGTATTCAGAAAAGACAGGTTTAGGGGTTCATCCTCCCTCCTTTTAATTTATGATTAAAAGTTACGATTGACAAAAACTAATATTTTTCCTAACTAAAAGTATACATAAGAAGAAGACATTCGAAACTCTAAAATATCCAAAAAAGCAATTGATTAATTCAACAAATTGCTGTTTATGTGCTAATAGAATTGATAACTTCCTCCAGAAAAAAAATCCTTAACACCTCCATGAATAAGATGCACTTGTCATCACATTGTTATCATTACAACTATGCACCTATTGCATTTAATATCCACAAGGTAAAAAGAAATAAAATAGATGTCATTTTTAATGTTCTTTGAATCAAAGTTATCGTATTTTATCTTTAAATCGAGCAATTTTATTTGTTAAAAAGTCGCGAAATTTACGAATACGAAACAATCGCGTAACTTTTTTTCTTATAATTCTCAACAATTTAACTTAGTTACGTGTGAGAAATATTCCTATCTTATGAAAACATAAAGAAAATGTTCTTTGATTTAAGACACTATAAAAATTTACTATTATTGCGTATATTGTATATTTGGAATGGAAATGCGTTTATTTTTGCAGAATCTTTGATGTTTTCGTAATTTATATTCATGAATAATAGATGATATCTTGTAAGGAAAACTTTTACATTATAACTTATTCTTAAACTGATATGTTTTCCTTATAAATAGTTTTATGTTTGATTAGCGAATATATCTATGTATAGAGACTTTTCTATTTCCATATTAAACATTACCGATCATAAACAAGGATAGAAATATAAGTTTTTATAGTGAAAATGTCTATTTAACTTTTTTTCACAAACGTACGATATCGCAAAGCGTTCTCCAGCGATCTTCTTACCAAGTTTCTAGATAACACTGAACGAGAGTATCTTTCGATTTTACCGATTAGTTCTTAAAATCACACTACTACGTGCCGATCATCTTCTTTCCTCCCTCGGCAGACTCTCCGGCAGTCCGTATCAGTCCTCGGTGCCGATCGCTCCTCCCGGGTATCCCCGCCGGCGAACTCACCAGCCCCGTCGGGCTGATTTGCATCACGGTTACGAGCTCGTTCGAGCTCGTGGTGGTTATATTACAGAGCGAGCGAGATGCGAACATGCTGGAAAAACAGAGACGGACAGAGGTACCTCTCGCGGTCGTACCACCCCCAAAGTGCATCGCGGGAGGCAGCTTGGACACTCATAACAATCATAACAACGGGATCTCGCGAGTAACTCGCGGACCACCTCCGCGCATCGGTACCGCCCATTGTACCGCCTACATTACCCCTTCTACGGGAACTATCCACCGGGCGGGAGAGTCGTCACGGCGGGCTGTTCTTCCCTCGGTTGTACGCCGGGGCCACTACGCAGCCAGACTGCGGACCGTCAGGGTTCAGGTCCGAGTTTTCGCGTCGAGCTCCAGTCGTGCAACGTGCACGACCACGCTGCCAAGCGAGGACAACACGAAGAGGAGTGAATATCAGGACTGCCTACTCCGAGATACTGAACCCATGTGAGATCTGGATCATCATTCACAGTGCCGATTGCGGAAGAATTTTATTTCGAAAGGCTCGAATCGGCAGAAGAAGAGGAGTCAGATAAGATCGACCGATCGACACTTCCCTCGTGGGGAATCATCACGAAGGATCATCCGCGACGTGTTGGTGAAAAGCTAGTGTTCGTGGATCAGAGAGTGATCAGGAAGTTTAAACTTGCAGCTGCGTGCGCCGATTTGTCCGGCCTATCAGCACGTGGCCGCAGGGGTGGGACTTCTTTCGGTGCGCCTCGCGGGTAAAGCGCGGTGAACTCTGTGACAGTTGACCAGTGAAACGTGTCGAGAAGACTCTATTGACAGTTGCGTCGCTCCATTTCATCTATTTGAATCACTGTGGCCGTGACAATCGCTCCAATTTGCGCGGCGTTTCGAGCATAAATTAGGAGTAAATGCGTGGAAACGTTAAACCGTGACAAGTGCGCAGAATAGGTGAAACGAAATTAATCAAACGACGATTAAAGGACTCGACGATATTGGCGTGAGTGTTAGGACCGATTTACTGGTGATTCCGAGAAAAAATCTCGGACAGAGTATACGTTATAGTTGAACAAAAGAAAGCAATGAAACAAGGACTACAGCTCTAATAAGCTTCTAATTATCACGACAGGTGCGCTGATAATTACGACGCGCGCGTGATCATCACGTGGACACGTCAGTGTTTTTCAACGCAAAATTATACGTTACGGACAACAACTACGAAGTGTATGGCTTGACAAGCGCAAATAGAATAATTAAAAGCACATTACACGTAAAATCGTGTTATCTGTTAGTTATCTGTCCGGTGACGCGTCGGAGCATCCCGTGTCAAGACTCGAACTGAAAATATCATTTTATTTTCAAAACACACTTTAATTATCCAGATAACGACTAAAAAGTCCAAAGTTCTCAAAATATTCATCGTCCTCCGAGTTTCTTTTAATTACGAATATCGCCTTAGGCAGATACGAGAAGAAAAGGGATCGATCGAGCAGTGTTTTATGAAGCGGCGAGCAATTAACTGTTTGCTTCTTGATCACTCCTAATTACTCGCAATTACTCGTTGTAATTAAGTAGGCTGATGTCACCGGCGGCCGATGTATCAGTGAATCGTCCGTTTCTCGACGTTGATCCGCCACTCCTCTCAGAACGGCCTGTTAATATTCGCCGTAAGAAAATTATCGGAAGATCGTGAAACTTGCGAACGAGGTGAGGAGGCGGCAGAAGGAGGATCTCTCGAAAGGAATAAAGACGGGTCAGCGGGGTGTAAAAGCGCGGCATCGGAGAAGGAAGGAGGGCAAGGCAGACGGCTCTGATCGGTGAAGATCGGTACGACCGCGACGGAATTGCACCGTGGCGGAGATAAATAACAACCGCTAAATAAATCCGCGTCAGGACGACGTCCCAAATACATCAGTCACAGATCGCCTCAGGTGAGTGTCAGGCACGAGTTCGCTCCTGCTTATTATAAACCCAGGCTAATCTCGGTAATTAGACGGGTCTTCTAAATGCGCGCCCGGTCGGCTGCACGTGTGTAGTCTCTCACATTCGCACACCGATTAGCCGCGTGCACGGACGCGCCTGCGCATGCATCACATGCACGCGCGTGTAAGCGCGTTTAGATCGACCTCGGGAAAACAGACATGGGAATGGAAATTAATTAATTTCACATTTTACGTATATTTCATGTCGTAACTTTGAGAGACAATTAAAAAGCAATCGGATACAATCTTTTCAAAACGACAGAATCTTTCCACTATGCTCGTTACTGTTCAATGTTGTGTGTATATTAAATTTAATATTAATAAAAACTGAATAAACGTTAAGATTACAATCGCGTTAAGATATAGAATGACTAGTGAAATTAATGAGGGAGAAGTCAGTCCTGAGATCTATCTGTCCATTTCCATGCCGAGCGCATATCCACATGTGGCAGTTGCGTGCCTCGTGAGCGGTACTCGTTGGCTCGATATCATTAAGTTAATCTCGGTAATTAAGGAAGTTCCTCTCCCAAAGCTTGGTCACGCGGGAATTCTGCTGGCAGGGGATCGAAAACAGCGTTTCGTTCTCTATACGCTTCACTTCAACTCGGTGATAATTTCATCCGGATACTTAGCTACGTACTAATAATTAGCGCGATAATTATGCGCGCCCGCGTATACTCGTGTCTACGTCGAGTGTGTGACCTGGAAATGCTAATTGAGGGATCGGCTGAGCATGTAAACGTAATGTGGTCGAATAGAATTCTCTTAGTCTTTACTGTCTTTTGTGGAGAAATACAGAGAAATATATATAATCACGTGGATATTATATTAGATAAGACTCATAGAACGAGTAATTATCATGATTAACAAGAATGTGATATACACTATTTTTAAGACGTGTGATATAATACAATATTATCATTCATTCTGAATGCATTCAGTTCTTAAATTGTGTTAATAATATACAAAGGTTAAATTTGCAATTCGAAAGAAGAATTTTATTTTAAGAGAAATATATAATAGAATTCAAAACTACAATATATTTGGCTAATTAATAAATAATTTTTTAAGATATCTGTCAAAGAAGTTTATTGTTTCTTTGTATATGTTGCAAAATTAGTGACGTTTCGTAAAGGAAATAATATTGATTTTGAAAGATATATATATAATATATATATATGTATGTATATACATTTATGTATCAAAGTAATAATTTATTGCGCGAGGAGACGAAATCATCGTCGACGAAATAATTGATTCTATTATACATATAAATTGTATAAGAAACAATACTATTTATCGACAATCCGAGTATAACATTGCATCAAGTTTGCTCAAAATAAAATTCAATAACAGATCTGTTAATGATTCATAAGTAATGAGATCACAGTACTGGATTTTTAATATGTCCCCATTACTTATATATATCTACGTCTCCTTTTCATTCTTACTTCTTTTGACAAAATAATTTATAATATGTCTAATCCGCGTGAACTTTTTCGATCGACCGACATATGTTGATAGATATTTTTGTGATTAAACGACAATGTCGTTGAATGTGCATCGCGTTACCTCCCCGACCATATGACCGGAGAGGTAAACAGGAGCACGTGTTGGTGGCGTGACTACGAGTGACGGCGTGAGCTCTGGGGGTGGAGAGGAGGCAGAAGCAGAGGTGGAGGAAGAGGGGGTGATGGTGGTGGATGGGAAGGGTGACGAGGGTGGAAAATCAGTGTGAGCTGCCCGAGGGTAGGAGAGTTCTTTGCTTGCCGCCTCGGGAACACGGAGGGTTGATGAGAGAGGGTTGGAGCAGTCGGAAGAGAGGGAGAGCGGTAAACTCTAGCCACCGAAAGTGGAAGCGAGATAGTCGGGGTTGGCCAAGCGAATCATTGTCGGTGGGAATAGACGCAGAGAGTTGAAAGCAGAAAATCCCAAAGGAAACACTTGATTCGCGATATCGTTGGAGTTTGGCGCTTTGGAATCGACACAAAGAAAGCGAGGTGCTTCATCTTGACTAAATGATGCCGAATTTCAGCGAGGCTTTGTTTTAAGCTTTCTAAATACTACGCATAAAATTGTAAAAAAAAATAAGAAATGTTCAATAATTTTTTACGACGATAATTATGTCATAAAAATGTATTGAATATTCGTAGTTTTCTTTCTTTTAATCACAATATTAGAGAAAGGAAGATTTCAATTATTTTATTGTCGCGATTAAAAAAAAACTATTAAAGATTACTTATTGTTATAAAGAAAAGACCAGTGAGAATTTTTTTGTTGCAAATTAATTCGAAAGTATCACAATCAAAGATCGCTAGAATTACTGTGTTTGTTGCCGAGGTCAAGAAAATGAATTCCCTTCTTATATCTTTTTGCTTCTTTCTTTCTCTCTCTCTCTCTTCCTTTTCTCTCTTTCCTCTTATTCTCATCACCCTCGCTCCCGCTCTCGTTGGCTTCCCCATTCAAGGCTTCCCCTTCACTCGGTTCAACCCCTGCCGACAATCCGGCGCACGATAACATTTCGTTCTACAACTTTACCCACTTCCAGTTCGCTTTACAGCCGCGCTATTCTGTTTTCCACCCGAGAATCTTCATCGATTATCGACTCGGAAATCATTTCGGGTAAGAAGGTTCTGTTGCAAACTCAACATGTCAAGTGTTAAGGTGTTACATTTATCCGTCGTTTTATACACTGCTGCTTAAAGGCAGTAATAATTACTTACTGTAAATTACGGATAAATTACAAAATTTCTTTTTCGTCTCTGTCGATTCTTTATGTACACAAGAAAATGCGAACTCTTTTTTTGCAAATATTAATTTATCGGCGAAAGAAATTACTATAAAATGATACTATACATTATATTGATTTATGTACTATTTGCATGAAATACATTAATGACTTAACCAATTTTATGGCATAAAAAAGTAATGCTGCTTTGTTACTCCAAAATTTCCCTGCCGGCATATTTATGATTGGCCTTCGTAACATAGTAGAAAGAAAGCAATGTGTGCGCGAGCTCATTAATTCTAATAATTCATGAAGAAACACGCACGCACGTAATAGCTCCGAGCGGCTTACGATTTGACGGATAGAGAGTTGCCTCAGCCCTACGTGTTTTTAAATGTCGGCTAAACTATATTCTGATATTTTAATAGATCTAATTTACATGTAAAACCACTTTCAAAATCATTCTGTCTCCAACACGCTACCAATGTTTTCTTTTGTAAAGGGGAGGAAACGCCAATGAATTAAGAAGGCTAAGTAATCCTTTAGGTTACCGTTCATTCCTCTTTCATATCCTTCTTCGCTTTTCTTTAAAAATTACAATATAATTTTCTCTACTGTATAATAACGTTATGAACTGCGATTTGTCTTTTAATAGATAGGAATAATTAAATCATTTTATAAGAGCGAGAAAATGTGCACTCGTCTGTAAATAATCGGAAGCGTAGTTCTAGTGGAACAGTTAGTTAGCCTATAAGAACGAAAAAAAGAGATCCAATGAAGCGTGTAGCGTGTTTTTGGGGCCAGATGTTAATTCCGACGACTCAGCGTGAGCCACGAGAAGACGGTTTAGTACGTAAATACATCTTCAGCAGGGGGTGCCATTATAATGGGCATGTGCGGTTAAAGTTCTATTTGTGGTAATTCACGGAGTTTAATGCACTCGGAGCTCTGATTTAGCCAGCGAGAGCTGACACTTTTTTTTATCCGGCAAAACCTCAACGACGCTGGGCGCCGTAAAGTATAAAATATTCTTCCTGCGTCTTTCGAGGATACGGTCGCGCGGAGCAGTTAAGCGTTCTTCTCTTGCGGTGTTTTCAAATTTCAGCGTAAAGCGATGCTTTTTATCAATCTCGTAAAACGCGATGTCGAATCGCGTGATTATCTTGAATAAAATAAGGAAATCGCGCATTTTTAATTCACGTGACACGGATTAATAATAGACGTTCGTCATTGTGTCAGAACCTTTTCGCGCATACAATTCTATTTTCGTGCGCTGAACTCATTTCTGAGTACGGGATTAGCTTTCGCTTCGATTACCGTCTCGAAAAAGAATTTCACCGGAATAATGCAAAATGTTTGTAATAGCGGAATTCCGACGAGGGCGTAAAATATCACGTCTTGGATAACGCGTGTTGATGCCGAACCCCTTCGGCGCCGATTTATGGGCACTCTCGCGCCCGACGATGCGCGCGTTACGCGCACACGCACACGCTCTTACGACACGCATACTCTGATACCGTAGCGTCAATCTCGACGAGGCGTTCGCACAGTCGCATTAACGGTGCGCTGTTCAGTTTAATCCTTGCGTTTCGTGACTCGGGACAAAGCCCCTCGGATTTCTGACAGAATGGTATCGCACGGAACGGCCATTACCTTAGCCGATATGCCTATGTACGTACGCGAGTTAAAGGTCGATGCGAATTAACCAACACGGATGCGGCCGGATTCTTTGTACGCTCGCCTTAATTATGCTCGCTCGTGCCGGTGAAGCGAAACTGCTATACAGAAGGGTAGCACGAAGCGGTTTAATCTATCGTACGCTTATTATATTGCATTTACTGCTCGATCGTAGCAAACTGGCGAGTATCCACCGGGTAATCCGAATCGACCATACACAAGCACGTTCATATATGCACGCGCGAGTTTCTTTCTTACGTCTCTTTAACATTAATACTTGGTCAGACGCCACAAAGCCACGATTATGCTTTGTCATTAGGACGCCTGGTCGATTACGGGATCGTGAAAAAAAAAGAGACTCGACAAGGACAATGTCTCGATGGGCGGTTGCCAACTGGTCCCGCTGGGATCTTTTTATTGGCAGTGTTTTAAGTAGGAGGGTGGGATCCATACTACATGCTTTTCTATATCACGTTGTTCACCCTCTCGTTCATATTGATGAATTGAAGACTTCTTCGTTCTTATTTATTTTTTTTTTTATAAATCTCGTTTGTCGATCGTTTCATCAAATTAAAGTTATACAGAGAATTTATCAAGAGATTAGACAAACGCGATTCAAATGATTTCCCGATCTCTGCGTGTCAAGATACGAAATTAGAAATACTGACGCGCAATTCGCGGCTCGAGCGAAAAGCTCTCGATGAATAGACTTGTACCAGGAAATCGAAAGCGAAGCATCGTCAGTGCTACGGAGAAACGGTCAGTGGTTCGTTGCATGCGTGGCCATATGGCGATTATCCGCGTTTAGTTATTTATAGCGACGACTTGAACACCGCACACGGTGAGAGCGTATACCCCAGACACGCAGCGCCGCGATTTGTGCGTCGCGTCGCGCCGCGTGTCGGGCGCGAATTGGACCGGGCCTAGAATTCTAAAACTGCCGTCTTGACGGTTAGGAATCGGCCTCGTAAATCGCGACTGCCTTGGAGGCTTCGGCTTAGGTGGTTTATACACATCTCCATAGCCCGGAGCGGCGTACCAAGAGGAGAATGTTGGCGGCTACGTAGAAACTATCCGCTGGCCAGAGGCGCCCGGTTGTTTCTAAACCCACCTTATCTACTGGCCCCTATAATAAGCCGCGATCTGAGACCGTATATCCCCGCCCGCACACGCTCTCTCTGAGAGGTCCGCACACATTTACACATTCTTACCGCGCACTAGGTAGCTGCTACTCGCGAACCCTGGACGCGTATGCGGCGCGCTATACCACGAAGCGCTTGCAATTACAAGCTGGTCAACATATAATTATCCTCAATGACCATAAATTACTGGATTTTTATGCGCAACATTCTTAATTACCCTTTGAATTAACATCAATCAACCCCTTAATTGCACGCTGCCGCTGACGCTGCTTCCACGTCGTCGTCGTCGTCGTTGTCGTTGTCGTTGTCGTTGACGATGTCGGCTGTAGAACTATAATGCGAAATGGTTACATTATAGCGACATGGATGCATGCCGCGGGCTAATAGCAAGACGCGGAAGAAAGACACGGGCTGACTGACGTGAGAAGAAGTGAGAAGAAGGAATGTAAGGGTATACGACAAAATCAGGAAACGGTGTCGCCCGAGGACACTCCTCCCGAGGGTGGATGACTGCCAGGCTTCGAAAACTCCCACACACACACACACACACACGGTAGGAAAGGATTCATCGTATCGTGTCGCGTCTGATCAGATGACAGCATCATGCGTAACGCGCCTGTTTTAATTGCTTTCAGAGATCCTCGAGTGATTCTCATATCAATCGCCTTGGCGTATAAATCGCGCGTCCTATTACACGGACTTTCACCGTTTATTCAGCGAGTGATTACTACGGGAGAAGTCGCGATTGAAAGAGGCGTTGGCGATACGATGCGAAAGGAAATTCACTTTACCGTTCCGGAGAATAACTCGACGATCGTATAGGAGAAATCGGAAATTTTTAACAGAGCAGTTTGAATGGAACATAAAATATTGCCCGTACGAAGAATGCCCGATTTAATTTGTATGTCGAATATCTTGGCAGAAGAACCCTGTGGGTAGCCCCTTACCTTTTTCGAAAGATTTATGCGATCTCGATCGAATAACGCATTTTTCAAGGTCGCACGATGAAGGTACCAATTTTCAAACGGTCGGCTATGGTGACGTTTGAACGATCGCGCTATAATCACTCGCGATATCTTCGTCCGGTTAAGAATTCCTCTTCTATTTCACAAATCACAAACCGTGAGGGCGATGCGATACGCTAATGAAACCGCACTCTCATTAAAGCATCCAAATCGACGATACTAATTGGCTAGCTTTCGGAATACCCGGCATTAGACCTCAGGACGCGATATAATAATCGCTGCGGACGAATTCGGTTTGGACAGCCGGTGGTTAAAGCGTCTAGTAATTTCACGGGCGCAGCCCTACAGCGATTAATATGATTCCGACGGAAATTAATGACTGCAAACGGAAAAAAGATAGGTTGCATACAGTCTTGCTCCGGTGGCGCGTTCTTATAAAATGGGGGAAAAAAATATTTGAGGATTAAATATTCTAAGGGTTCTTTTTTTTTTTTTTTCGAAATACATGTGTGTATATAAATTAAAATTTTGTTTTATCAGAAATCTTCAAGTGTAATTAATTCTAATGTATTCGCATAATATTAACTTCCTCGTCAAGATGTATTAATCGCCTAAAGATAAAATTATCGTATGACAGTTTTGTCTTTGCGACGGGCATCAATGAGAATTAACCTACAAGCCATTTATCGGCAGTCGATCCCATAGCACAAAAATCGAATAATGCTTATTAATCAGCTTAATTAGCAGCAAAGCTCCTCTCGTTGCACGTTGCGTAAATTAATTCCTCGTAGCGATGATCGATGCGATCTCTTCGCCTAGCTGCGGATCCTGCATACTGGACTGATTTATTCCACCGTTTTAATTGATGTGAGACAAATACGACTGTTAAAATATGATAATTTTGTCTTTTGCACAATATTATATACCTGTCATTGTAAATTCTCAATTGATACAATAAGTAAAAGAATATAAAAATAACATGTAATAATCATCTTATTATATATGTATTTAAATGTATCATATCATCTAATCAACGTATTCGTTTTTGTATGCAATTTTGATACAAAAACGCTAAAAGATCGTATTGTCTGTGTAAGAAAAAAAATTCTTTTGAAATCACGACATATTTATCTGTAACAGTAGATTCTCCTTTCTATCTTCAAAGAAATATTCTATTTCTTATTTGTAAAATGTATATTAAAAGAATTGAGATTAATTTTGTTGAAGAGAAAGAAATTTGCATTATTTTAAATTTGTGGATGCTGAAGATGATTATGCTTACTCGATGAATTGAAAATGTAGCGGCAAAATAATATGAAAACAGGTGAACAATGTCAAGCAGACGCAAAAATAAATCTGGATCATTTTTCTCGCTTCTCGGTTCGTGAAGTATGGTATAAATCACTTTAAGTTCAAAGCCACAGCAATCGGTGGCAGAGTCTGCGGCTTCGTCAGAAAAAGACGCGCGTTTCTCTCGCTCTCGTTCAATCATGTCAGCATCTTTGAGAAACTCGTGCGATTGTCGCTAAGCAGACGCTACATATCGCGGATGCGCGTTAGGACACCCATATTTATAGGGAACAGGCGACATTAACACCAGAGTTTGCACTTGTGAGCGGTCTATTTGGTACCCAACGACCTAACGCTTTTATTATAAACACGCTGCCGTTTTAAAGCACAGCATCAAATATTTTTACGATGGCCATTATAAAACGCCTTTTATGAGGAACAAAGTAGCTCGCAGGCAGAAGGTGTTTTCTCGCCCTTTGACAATAATTTGTCCAGAATAACCGGCTCGTTTCACTCTCGGCCCCCCACGCCCGGGCTTCCGCTCGATGATCCATCCAGCCGTTCGTCATAGGCGCGCGGCTTTTAAAAAGTAAAGCGCTGGACTCGGGCCAGCGCAAAAATAGAAGCAGATGTTATTAGTTGCGTTCACCAAGTATACGACGGCCGCCGCGGCGCGACGAGGCAGGCGGTAGAGGTGGCGGCGGCGGTGGCGGCGGTGGTGGTGGTGGTGGTGGTGGAGAAACGAGAGACGCGAGCAGAAGGCGACGAGGGAACGGCCTGTCCAGACGGTAGTGTGTGATTTCATTGCCCTTGAATTCTTACTAACTGAACGCTTAGATAAAAATAATTAGGCGGATAAATGCGGGGCGGACGGGGGATGGAGAGGATGACTGCGGGCGGTAGCGCGTTTAGTCGCGGCGATTTTATTCTGAATCCTCCCTCGGCGCCTCTCGCGCCGCTACGTCTCCCTTTCTCTATCTCCCATCCGATGCGATGCGCCAACCAAATGTTTTTGCTTTGAAGTTGGAAGATGAACGGGCCTCCTAATTTCCAGTGTCTGCATTCTTAACAGCTGCACGCGCTGCCGTTCGATATGGCTGATGCGGTACCGCGCGTTGCGTCGCGTCGTGCCGGTTTAATTAGCATCTCGCGCGTGTCATCTTCTTTTTTGGTTCTTGAAGAACCAAAAGCTGTCCAAATTGATATCGATCGTTTAACAAGGTTTTCTCGTCTTTCGTGGAAAATTGCTTCGTTCGCCTTTTATTAAAGAAAAGTATTCCATATAGCTGCCCTGTTTTTTTTTTAATAGTCATTAAGTTAAGTCAATACACTTGTTAAGAAATATACGTGTAATTATATTTAACTATATTTAGAGATTCTCTAGATATGAAAGAGAAAGAGAGAGAGAGAGAGAGCTCTATATTCACAATGAAAATCGCACATATATGATTCCTTTATTCAGATTCCTAAAATAGCATTAAATCGAAAACACGAGAGCGTTATTAGGCACGACGCAACAGTTTCGCTATTGAATCGAAACGCGCGAATTATACTCGCGCTATAATGGGATTGCGTCCTACCAGGATCTGCGCGCGGCGGCGCGCCCGCTATTAGAACGGTCCTCCGAGAGTTTTGGTCGATTTGCAGATTACGAGTCCCCGGGATGCAAGGCTGACATGGCGGAGGGTTCGGCCGAGGAGGAACAGAGCAGTACTGCTGCGCCCGCTTCCCCGCCAGCTGATCTTCGCACTCTGAACACCCAATTGTCGTCGCCTTATCACCACCAGCCCCATCTCCAGCCTCGTCTTCAGCATCTGCAGCATTCCAACATGCTGGCGACCGCCGTACCGCCCCGGCACAGCCTCAGTATGCTGTCTCATCAGGTGAAAGCGGAGGCAGAGCTGGACGCCCCCTGCGATGTGCCATTGAATCTCAAGAGCGAGGTAAGCGCAGGAATTCCTCTCGTCGATTATTGATGTTGGGAATCGGCTAACTGCTTTCGATTGTTCATTTTCGTTGTGTTTTGCTCGCCGAGCGGTTACGCTTGGGCGGAAATCGCAACACATTGCATGACAAGCATTAACAATTACTGCCGTAAAAACGAACGTACAGTGTCTGGAAAATCATTTCGGCATTATATATATATTTTAGCTTGACGTAGCAAGTAGTTAATTACTATGTAAGATACCGACGGCCTATTTCTGTCGGTTAGTATTCTTGAGCGATTGCTCGAGCCACGCTTCGGTTGAAGGGATAGAAATATCGCTTATACAGCTGTGCTAAAGTATACAGCGATCTAGATGGTCATCACACTCGTTATTAACGGTTTTGTGTGTCAATGACAACCAATTGTTAAGTAGCTGCCTCAGCGATCTAGATGGTCATCACACTCGTTATTAACGGTTTTGTGTGTCAATGACAACCAATTGTACGGTTAAGTAGCTGCTACGACGCATCTCAACCTAAATCGGCCAATGATCTTTTTGACCTGTTTAAGATTAACGTACAAAATAAAACATACTCGAATGACTTTCACAAAAATGACGGTGTACGCGATTTCGTTTGTTAACGTGTGTTATATTTTTTAAAACGTATTTAACAAAATCTTTTTTTAAAGAATTCGATCTAGTAATATCAGACATTAAATCAATGGCAGTTTTGTATATCGATTTATGTCAAGAGATTACGTAACATTTGCTAATATCCGGGAACCAAAATTCTCGTTGTGGAATTTAATTCTATAGAATTATATAATGCACAATTTATACGTAGTGTATAAAATAGATTCTTGTCATGATCATAGTATGATAACATATCTATAGTATATATCAAGTAATTATTCGAAAAGAAAGTCGTTAGTCTGGTTACTTGCTTGCGCAATCTCGAGCGGTATATTTTATAATTATATTAAAATGATAACAAACTGAGGGAGACACAGATAAAAATATTATAATTCATATGTAAATGACAGGAAACTAATCATCATATTAAGCGATCGATCGCCTGTTATAACGTAACTCGTTTCTCGTTTAATATAAATTGAAACAAAGTAGCAAAAACTATGTAGATAAATCAAAAAGATGAAATATTATAATTTCTAATAGTATGTGCATTTTTTTAAAAGTATCACATAAAGTTGTCCAACTATATAGAATAAAATCATTTTTATTGACCCTCTTTCCAATCAAATCTGCCTGACCAATAATCTTCAGTATTAAAAATAATTTAAATGTTAATCGCAAACAAATCGCATTTTATAAATACTATTACTAACATTACACGAATTTATCGATATTAATGTGAAACTTACTCGTGCGGAGAAACACACGGCGATGAGATTCATACAAAAATTAGAAAAGACTTTTTCGATCAGGAGATGCAGACAAGCGGAGCGAAAACTCATTAATGAATGACAAATCGGTCGTTAATTATTTCTCGTGTAGTGAAATTAGTTGTAAGCAACGGTAGTCGTAAGTCGTTGGAACGAGGCGGTAAAGTATTATGAGGAAATCCTGACTTCACCAGCTGTACGATCGTAAAGCGGAAAATATTTGCACGTAGCTTATATGTACCCGCTTCAATGAACGGTGACCAGTTTTGTCGATGCTTGCACATCGGACTAGCCAGTAGGGAAACTTTAGCAAACAAGCGTTCGGGGATTACTATAGTCGTCAAACGTGTCTACTTTCCTTTGGGACAATTAACTCTCACTTATCGACTTTCTACAGAGTCGTCTCTCGTTAGTTTAAAAAAATGGAATGTAAATGTAATCTATAAAGCCAATATACCATTCGTCCAGAGATATCATAGCGAATACAAAAATAATCTGAAAGTCTATCATAAATCCACGTTACAGTAAATTTCTAGCGTCACACAGCACAAACCGCTTTGTTGATAATGATATAATTAAGTCACGTTGCGTTCATCCGTCACTTTAAGATCTTAATTGCCACAACGCGCAAGCCGTACGATATTCTTAAACGTAAAGAATTAGACTCTACGAAGAATTCGACAATGATGCCAATTAAGCGACGGAGGAGAACAACCGCGACCCTAGACACGACGACAGCGTGTCTCTCGACTAGAGTCTCGAAAACGGCAGTCTCATCCGTTTAGAGCTCGTTGTCCCTGTCCATCCATTACACTATTATCCCGTCGGCAAACACGGTATCCATGCCGGACTCGACGCACGGACTTAATGCCTGGCTCGCATCTGAGAGCGTGCAATTTACGCGCAAAAGAAGGAGAATGTTTCATTCGCGCCCGGTAAAAAGAAATATCCCACCGATGCACGTAACAACAGGACGGATAATAATGCCGTCCGCGTTTCCGTGGCAAAATATACGTACGTAGGGCGACGAAAAGGAGAAATATCCTGCGACACGATCGATCATCATCGTCCAGCGGTTGTTCGCGCGTAAAAACATTCCCTCGCGACCGTCGTCGAAGCGACATTGTTAATTTTCTCGATTGGGAACATCGAGAATAAATCTCGCACACTTTACGGAATCGATCGATGAGCGAAGACATGCGAGAGTGTTATATCAACGGAATAATTTATCCGCGATTTCATCGCGTAGAGTTTCACAGTCGCTCGAACTTCTGTTCGACAATCATAAATTATTAGACCTTTGAACGCGGTATTCTTAACGACCCCCTCAGTGCCATTAGCCGTTCCTCTTAATTGCGGAATATCTCTCTTTCTCGGTAGAATAATGGAATATTCAGCGACGCTAATAAGATATAAAGAACAAATAGAGATTTGGTAAGGCGCACATGGTTATCCGCACAATCGAGACACTAGTTAAAAGATTCGTAAACGAACTACGCGCACATGTATTCTCAGCTAAAAATTTTTCGCAAAACATTTAAATAACCAATAAAAACAAATGGTCCGCTCTACAAGCATGGGAATATGCGTAGTGCAAAATATAATTTAAAAATACAAAACGAATATATCGCGCAATGCTAGAGAAACGCGAACTCGAAACGGATCGAGCACCCTTTGCATTCGCAAAGACCGCAGTAATGTGCATATATATGCAAATATTCGCGTATCTCACAGACACATCTGCGGACCGGAAACCGTTAAACGCTCGACGGATGCATCGTCACGAATATTCCTCCACTCGTGGTCCCGAAGATTTCGTCGGTCACACGATAGAAGCCGCTAAACCATCTACAGGCTTTGCCGCAGAAGCAGCGACCCTATCCAGACCCTCTCGAATCCGAAGACGCAAATTTCACGTAGCTGAATCCGGCGCGTTGACCGTCCGATGGATCGATACGCCGTAACCAGCCTTAAGGCGCATTCCAGCTTGATGGCCACCAGTCCCGACCGTAAATGCATCTGTCAAGAAAGTGATTGAAGGTAAACGATTCAGGGGAGTCGCGAACACCCAGACGGATCGGATCTCATTACCTCGGTGGCTCATTTCAGCGACTCAATTGCATTTCGATCGGATTTCACAATTATTATGATTATTGTTGAGCGAAACCCCCCCCTTCTCCGCACAGGTCTCTGCGGCTGCTGATTAGAATCCGGGGAGAAGCAGTCGGCTTTTGACTCGCTGAGATGTCCCGCACCTTGATCGGTCGTAAAAAAATGTGGTTATTGTACTATGGTTTTATTATATTTTTACATGCAGTATATAATGATATTCGCTAGCTGTATGCAATAGACTGCTACAGCATTCCTCGATTTGACATTTCGCATTCCCCAGATTGTAGAGAGGACGATTTGAGAGATAATAATGCTCTTGCATAAAGAAATTGTCGTTATTATGCGATTATGATTTAACGCGGCTGATCAGTGCGGATGGAACTTACAATACGTTCAATATTCGCGTCAGTGATCCAAGAACGAGGCGAGACTCGTACGGCAGTCGCATTTTCGTAAAAAAAAAAAACTCCACAGTTTTATGACGCATTATTATACTTGCCTGTCGCAAAAGATTTAGCTAATAAAAACGTACGTTTGACGGGCGATCGTCCGTAAAGCAACGCGGTCAGAACGACGAACGTGGAAATGAGTGGCAAAAAGAAGAATGAAAAAAAGTGGAAGAAGTAAAAAGAATAAAACGCCGAGATATTCTATCGATGGTCGTCTATTTCTCTCACATGATATTCGCGGAGTGATGGAATGTTTATCAATAGATTAATCTCGGAGATCGGCGGGTGGTTCCGCGTCGTCGCCGGGCAGGCTCCTCGATTGCGATTAAACATAAAAGTATTATTTCAATCTGGCCCCTCCGCGCGCGCCGGCCATACATTCTCTCGATATGTGTGCGTGTGTGTGTGTCATCCCCGTCGGCACATACGCACACAGACGCGCGCGCATACGTGTGTGTGTGTGCGCGCGCGCACTTACTCGCGCGACCGATAGATCGGGCATTTTTCCATTAGATTGGAACTTGATTAAATTGAAAATCTGTCAATTTAGGAAAAAGCATCCGACAGCTTATATTGACGGTGGACATTATACGCGGTGGCCAACGAGGCAGAACTCGTTGGCCTGACAACTAGCGGAGATATAAAACCCATCGTCGCGACGATGGACCCGGGATGCGCGCCGGGCTGTTTACTTTTTGCTTCCTTTTGCGCCCTTGTAAAATTAATTGCCGGACGCCGCTCTTTGAGGGTGACGCTCGCTTTCGCCGTTCTACCGATCGCAGAAATTTGCTCACGGTGTCATTCGTTCAATCTCCACCCTGATATGATTCCGACGCAGCACCCTCTATGTCCTCCCCCCCCCCCATTTACCCCTCCTTGCGCCAGTTATGTCGCGGGATGGTCGCTGACGAGTTTTTGTAACGAACGCATTTATCGTGTACACTTTTAAAGGAATAATGTGGCTTTAGCAGATTTAATTCACTCGAATTTGCTGTCCATATCAGGCGATCGGACGAGCCACATCCTACGATAAAAGAGGAAGGGTGTTTCT